GGTACCTGACCCTAAATCTAATTTAAACACTGGAGTCTTGAAGCGAACCCCTGACCCACCAATGGTATTTCTCACAATGGGGGCCGGGCTTTTGTCCCCATAAAGAACAGTGGGTCCTCATCAGGCTGTGCATACTGGGAAAATGGTCAAAAATCATAGCAAAAACACACGTAAACACGTGCACACAGAGCAAAATATTGTCCGTCTTTGCCTTTCAGCTACAGGTAATAATTAAAAAAAATACTCTTGAACTCTGCAATCAGTTTTAAGAGAGTTTAATTCMGACCAGACKGATGAGTTTGAATAAAAATGGCTCCAGTCTCAAATACCTTTACGTTAAATGTCACTCTCAGTTGCACAACACACATTTAATTGTACAAACTGTTGTGTGGTTCTTTTAAACGGCAGCTTGTTGTTCCGGTGCAACCTGAGCTGCTTCCTGCAGAAATATTTCACCATTTCTGCCGGAATAACTCTGTAACGTCTGACTGTAATTTAAAGGCTTAGAAAATAACRTTTTCATGAAATGCAATAAAAGTTTTGGTTTGGAGCTGATTTGGACCAGCCTTTAGCATCATGTTTCAGTCAGAATTAATGTTATTAATGTTCAGAATCTTTGCACTAAATCCCACTTTTAAAACATCWGAACTGATTAAGTGTTGCTCTACAAAGACGTCAGATTTAATGGAAGAAAAATATAAGATATTTATCTTCACAAGTCACTTTATTAGATGGCCATCACTTTGCATTCTGGAAGTGTTTCCATGGCGACTGCATCCTCTCCAAGACAGGGTGTTGGTGCAGGACCGGAGCTGGTCCTGGGCTGCAGCAGCGAGGAGGAGGAGGAGGAGTCCGGAGTGGGCGGGGGTCGGCGGAGGACAACGATGTGAGCGCACGGAGCGTGCAGCAGCACATCGTTGAGCTGCTGGAGTGAAGCGTTAACCACGGACACGCCGTTCACCTCCACCAATCTGTAACACACACACACACACACAAACGCTCAGACACACCGAATGGGACCACGGAGGAAAGAATTCAGACCACAAAAAACTCTAAAAATACAACGTTTCTCCCCTTTTTATTTACAGGGCAGGTCAATAAACCATTTAAAACGTTTTTACAAAGAGCAATTCAACAAGTCTCACAAATACGTTCCTGCTTCGGCTTTTTTCTTTTAAAGACAYGCAGGGGTGAACAAAAACGAGTAAAATAGGAACCCTTAAGTTTTTATTAGCTGTGTAAAAAGTGTTGGCACAGAGACGGCGATAAGTGACCTCACACAGCGAAACTGCAAAACTCTTTTCAACTTCTGTGGTTTTCATCTTTGAATGGTGATGCAGAACTTTTCCATAACAAGGTTGTCTCTAAGAGTGATGTCAACGTGTGTGTGTGTGTGTGTGTGTGTGTGTGTGTGTGTTGACTCCAATGAGTTTTGGAGCGCTGAGTTTCTAAGAATGTAACAGCTATAATTTCATAATGGCTCAATTATAAAAAGGTTCTTTCATCTTCTGGTTTTCGGTCTATTCTGCATCAACAGATGACATCACCACCTTGCTTGTTTTGGGGCTATTATCTAATGGGTTTCCACGACGACTGAGCTCTGAAAAAAGAGATAGCGATGAAAGAAATACGAGAGGCATGACTAAGATACTGAACCGCTGGAGGCCCTCTGTGATCCTGCATTAAGGGCTGCTTCTCCTGTTACCTGTCGTCCACACGGAGGTGGGAGTTGTCCACCTGGACCACCACCAGACCACCCCCTTCTCTGCAGCGACACGTAAAACCAAACTGGCCGTCGGGGTTCTGGTTCTCCTGGACGACCATCAGCATGGCGGGAGACTCCGGTGACACAAGCTGGCTCAGGCTGCCGGCAGCTAAAGTCGGTTTTTCTGCGTTTTCCTAAAACAGAACAAAAAACWAAAGTAAACCACAATTATGAAGAGCTCAGATGTTAAATTATTATTTATTTTTATAACAATTTTCCTTTTTTTTCTGCACTTTTTACAATTTTTTCTACTCTTTTAGCTGTTTTATTCTTTCATGTGTCACAACCTTAGGCTCAGGTTGGTGCTGAGACTTTAGTTTTTGTAACTTCTACGTTTCAAAATATGCAGTTTTTATTTACAGATATTTAACCCGACAATGCAGTAAGATTTCTTATATTACTTCAAAAACAATTTATTTAAAATTGACGTCAATAACCTTTTTGTATTTTTGTCTCCTTATGCTACTTTTAGCTTTTAGCGCCATTAATGAAACTTTTAGCTATCATCTTTTTATTTTTAGCTTTTATTAAACTTTTGATACTTTTAGTTTTACCCAACCTTTAGCTGGTTTTGGCTGGTACTTTATTTTAAATTTTAGCTAGTCCTTTTCTGCTTTTAGCTTCTAGTTAGCCTTTTTGTATATTTAGTATAGCTAGCATGTTGCTTCTTTACGATTTCAGCTAGCCTGCTGCTATTTTTAAATTGTGTTGACATTTTTCCTTTTTATTWACCCCTTTGCTATTTTCAGCTTTTGTTGTGCTTATTTGAGCTTTTAACAAACCTCTTGTTACTTTTATCTTCTAGGTAGCCTTATGCTAATTTTAGATTTAAGCTAGCCTTTTGCGACAGCTTTTAGCTCCTTTTAATGATGGTTTAAGCTTTTCATTAGACTTTTGATACTTTTAACTTTACCCAACCTTTTGTGGGTTTTGGCCGGCACTTTGCTCCTTTTTAAATTTTAGCTAGCCCTGCTAGCTTTTTTATATATTTAGCTAGCCTGCTGCTATTTTTATTTTGAATTGTGTTGTGCTTCCTTTATTTTTTCGTTACTCCTTTGCTATTTTTAGCTTTTGTTGCGCTTATGGTGCGTTCA